TAAAAGCCCTAGATCTACACTTTTGGTCCCTTTAGAGCCTTTAAAACTTCATTGATGCATATACATACGTAAAGTTGGTAACTTTATGTGTGAAAGAAGCCTTAGGAACCCAGATCTATAAGTTGAATGCAATGGAATCTTCTTGCCTCAAGAACAGACTCGACAAGTTGTTCATACTACTTGGCAAGTCACATGCTAGAATGCTCTTATTTTTTTGGAACCGGCAAATATTATTAAGAAAACCACCACCCTAGCAAGACGCTAGGAGGGGCAAAGAGTACAAGAAGAAGAAAATTTACATTCAAATAAAAGGATTGATACACCAATCAATCCATTGCAAAGTGCAATGTTTTCTCCTATATTTCATCCAAAGAAACATCGTGGACTTTATCGAGTCAACCACTTTGGTAGGGGATGTTCTTAATTTTTTGAACACCCAATCACACCTTGCCTTCTAAAGAAACCATGTAGTCCCATAGCAAATACTAATTAAAACTCTCCTTTTCATCTCACATGATCCCCACTGCGCTGTGAATGCCATCAGCTCTTCAACGGATTCAAAGTGAATATTTGGAAGGTCACACCAGCTAAGCATCCATTCCCATACCCTTACAGCCATTGAGCATCGAAAGAGTACATGGGTTGTATCCTCTTCTGCATTCTCACAATAAGAACAAATTGGGGAAGTGATCTAGATACCGCGTTTGAGGAGAGCACAAGCAGTTGGGATTCTTTCCAATTTTTCCATCCACATGAAACAGGATACCTTCAATGGAATTTCATGAATCCATTTTAGTGTAGACTCCACCGTAGGTAAGTTCCATTGATCAATTTTTTTCTAAGTCTACCAACTTGGAATACCCCATCACTAGCTAGGGTGCACACCCACTTATCATTTCCCTGCACAGTTTGGAAATCACTAATTCTGGAGACAAGCAGAGCAATCTCACTAACCGACTCCAAAGTTCTTGGTACTGACTTCCAATCCCAGATCAAGTCACCATTTTGTAAGAGATCACTGATTTTACAGTGTTTGTAGCGTTCTAGTTTGTATGCTTCAAGGAAGGATGTCTTTAGAGTCGAATCTCCAATCCATCTATCCAGCTAAAACATGGTCTCTTCTCCAGCTCCAATTTTTTTAACCATTAATTCTTCTAGATCAATATCGAATAGCTTTAATTCATCTTGTACTCCAGCAATCCGGTTCCAAATTCCAGGTATTGTTTTTTTAGAAATATGATGTGCAGGTTTATTATAGAGATTATGAATCCCTTTAATAACCGTACACCATAAGCCTGAGCTGTCGACCTTCAACCGCCAAATCCACTTTGTGATTAGAGAGAGGTTGATCGCCTTGAGAGAACCCAACCCCAATCCGCCGATTTCTTTTGGAGCTGTCACCGACTTCCATGCCACCCAGTTAATCTTCTTCTGATTCTCCGCACCTCCCCATAGGAATCTTCTTCTTATGCTTTCCAGTTTTTTGATAACACCTGTAGGAGAACTCGACTTCCATGCCACCCAGTTAATCTTCTTCTGATTCTTCGCACCTCCCCATAGGAATCTTCTTCTTATGCTCTTATGATGAAGGAGAACTCGATGAGTTGTTCATACAACTCGGCGAGTCAGATGAAGATAGACTGTTTATTAGTATCGAGGAGGAACTCGTCGAGTCTATGCCAAACTCAACGAGTATTAACGGGCAGGAATGAGAAATAAGATTAGGGACTCGACGAGTTGACGGCCCAACTCGACGAGTTGGGCCAACTGTATATTGACTTTGACCAGGAGGTTGACTTTAAACAGGGGTAAAATAGTCATTTTACCTTCATTATAGTTATCAGTAGTTGATTGAGTATGTTTATGGGAATTGTAACCGGGAGAGACTGGAGCAGCAGCAGACAGTTCCCGAGTAGAGTTTAGCAGCCAACTTTCGAGGTGAGTTTTCCTTCCAGTAGGAACGGGTCTACGACTACAATACTGGCCCGTTTAGTTAGCAGTAGTCCCGGACCTCGGTTCGATGCAGTAGTTAGATTACTTGATGCCTTTGTGATTCAAGCATGTTTTGTGTTATGTGTTCCGGACTTCGGTCCGATACAGTATGTAATATTTGTGGTTATGCTAGTTGATATGTTTATGCTATACTATGTTATGCTGAGTCAGTTTCCGGACTTCGGTCCGATGCAGGGGACAATGTCCCAGTCAGTTCTGAATTTCGATCCAATGCAGTTACTTCCGGACTTCGGTCCGATGCAGGGGACAAGGTCCCAGATAGTTCCGGACTTTGGTCCGATGCAGAGGGCAAGGCCCTGGTTAGTTCCGGACTTCAGTCCGATGCAGTTTCCGGACTTCGGTCTGATGTAGTGGGCAAGGTCCAATATGTATCTATATGATTGTATGGTATGTGGTAGTTTGGGGGAGCTCACTAAGCTTCGTGCTTATAGTTTCAGTTTTGGTTTCACGTACTTCCGCAAGTAAAGAGAAGAGCTCGGGATGATGGCATCACACACACCACAACTTCAGTTTTAACCTGGGACTCGGTTTAGTTTTTCTTAGATATGACTTGACATAGTTTGATACAGTTTTTTTTCACGACACTTATTTATGGTTTTGAGATATTGACGTATGAGTTTATTCTATGTCATTCGATATTATGGTTTTAGTATTATTTAAACAAATTTTTTTTGGGTCGTATCTTGGGTTGTTTCAGGTAGGTCAGCACCTTAGAATGGCTTGACATGGGTAGGTCGCGCAACCCATAAATGTCCGACAGTATGTATGATTGTATGGTATGTGGTATGATGGGGGAATTCACTAAGCTCTGTACTTACAGTTTTTAATTTTGGTTTCAGGTACCTCTTCAGCTAAGGGGAAGGAGCCAACAGGGTAGCAGTGCATCGCACACATATGATGAACCTTGGGATTGTACTCTGATATTTTTCCATCTGATGTTATGATTTTCGAGACTTGTGATTTGTGATTTGATGTTTTGAAATGATAGCAACGATTTTTTCCGTAAACTATTTTTATAAGTAATTAAACAAAATTTTTTGGGATCCCGATTTTGGGATGTTATAATTTTCCACTAAACTAATTAACTAAATAGTGTTTGAATTGATTGATAACAAAATAAAAGCTTAGATATGAAATTTAATACGTACTTAAATTTATATTAAATGTTAAAATATTTTTACAAGTAAATTAATTAATCATTTGTTTGATAATTTGGATAAAACATATGGAAATATCGTCTTAAAATCTGATTTTGATACAACTTAAAAGCTATTTGTATGAAAAAAAATGTGTTATATATTTTGTATTTAATTGTGAATGGTGTATGAATCGATATATTAAACTATCAATATTTGTTTTAAACTGTGTATATTGTTATAGCTGTGATTTAAATTGCGATTATTATTATTATTATTATTATTATTATTATTATTATTATTATTATTATTGTTGTTGTTGTTGTCGTGGTTGTTGTTGAAATTAATTATGAACTTAGAAAGAATGGGCAGTTAAGAGATAATTTAGATAAATCATATAAAAACGTCTTCTTGACATTCAATTTTGATACAACTTGCAAGGTGTTAGTTAAAATGATTGGAAAAAAATGATTTATATGTTTTGTATTTAACTGTGAATGGTATGTAGATCGGTGTAATTAAACTGTGAATATGTGTTTTAAATTGTGAATATTGTTTGAGCTATAATTTTAAATTGTAAAAATTATTTGAACTTGTGATTTTTTTTGTTTTTTTTTTTTTTTTTTGTAAAATTGATTGTGAACATAGATGAATGTTTTCTTGAAACTCGACTTTGATACAGCTCACAAGGTGTTCGTTAAAATGATTAGAAAAAAGAATGTTTTGTATGTTTTGTATTTAACTATGAACAATATCGATGTATTAAATTGTGGATATATGTTTTTACTGTGAATTGACTGTATTAGTTGTAATGATTGTATTAAGCTGTGAATTATTTGTATTAAGCTGTGAATTTTTTTATATATTTTTTGTTTACTTTTAAATATGAGATCAAAAAATCATTATACATATATACAATTTTATCTAATTCTGAATAAAACATTTAAAATTTAAGTTGTGAAGATTTTTGTAAATAAACTTTGAAAGAAGCACTAACCTATAGATCTATAAGTGTATATATATATATATATATAAGTTTTAAGTTGAGAACATGGTTGTGAGTATATAATTTTTATGCATTAAACTGTTAACTTTTTATACTAAGCTATTAATTTTGTGTACTGCACTGTGAATTGATTTTATTAAGCTATGAATTTTATAAATTATATCTTAAAATATAACTGATTTATGATGAATGTTTGTTTTAATTTGTTTGTGAATATATTTATTTTTTGAGTTGTATAAATATGGAAGACTATATTAATTTTTATAATTATTTTGTATTAAATCAAGATGAGTAAATGAGTAGGTTTTATTAAACCGTGATTATAGTATTTAAATTGTTAATGTATTAATTTAATTACAGATCTGATTTCGAAGAAATAATGGTTGCGATGTTGCTTCAGGTATTTGCTGGCAGCGTATGGTGGTGGTGGTAGAGTTCATGTTTTTGTGTTTTGATTTTCTTAAATTAGTGAATTATTGTAAAATAGTTTGTTTTAAGTTGTGAAGTTTTTACACTAAACTGTAAATGGACTATATAAAGTTATTTTTTATATCAATTTTGTGTTAAAATATAAAAGCATATATAAATGAAAATATTAAACTGTAAAAATTACAAATTTGTTCTTATCGTACCAAAAGCACAAAAAAATAAGGAATTTTATCATGTTTTATAAGAGTATGATGTAAATATTTGCTAATTAATGGGGGTTTTTAGAGTTATTAATCTTTTGAGGTTCTTATTTGAACCATCCCATATATATATATATATATATATATATATATATATATATATATATATATATATATATATATATATATATATATATATATATATATATATATATTGTTGGAAAGAGACAGGAAAAGGGAAAGGACATTAACAATAACATTTAACACTGGTGATGGGGATGAATCGTAATGCAATGAAACATCATCAACCTTAAAATGAATTTTCAGGGGGGGGAATCCCTACAGTACCCTTTTCTCTGACTACATATGCCTCCATGGCCCCATCTCCAAAATACCCTCTTTCTCCTGCACTCCCAAACAAATTTACCCATCCAATCAAATATTTATTTTCCTGTTTAAATATTTTTTAATTAAATATAAATATTTGAATAGTATGTATACTCAGGAAAATTACAAAATTGATGGCCCATTTAGTAAAATCGCCATTTTTTTTTGTTTCCATATGTGATTATCATGTTTACAACATGGCGATTTTAGGAATCACAAATATGCTTTTGAAATAATCATCAACACTGGAAATTAAAAAAAAAAAAAAAAAAAAAATGAAATTTTGCTAAATGTATTATTATATATTTTAAAGTGTACCATATTTTATGAACTTTTATTCAAGTTACTTATAAAAAATAGTAAAAATATTTTGCAATTGTCTCATTGCTTGATGTTTGGCTAAAAATAAATAGATGGGTAGTTTTTTAACTAAACCCATCAATGTTGATATTTTTTGTGATTATCCTGAATATTATATAATTTAATTAATTATTTATCTTACAGTTAAATTTTTAATAGCTAAATGTGGAATAATTACCATTTTAGTAGTAAAACAACCATTATCAGGTGTGGGTGCCTTCATGTCACTTATTGAATCCTCCTGAGCTTCAAAGGTCCTACATTCCAGATTCACGCCAAAAAGCCTCACTGTTTTATACTTCATCATCTCTGTCTCAAATAAATAATAAATATTCTCAGACAAGAAAAAATATATGCTTATATAATTATAAATATAAATAAATATTAGAAATGAAAAATGCATTTTCCGATACTTACTTATTACAAAATGTTACTTCTCTTTTGTTCTATTACAATATATGACTTAAAAAATGTTATCCATATATACAAAAAAAAAAAATCTATTGATATGATTGTAAAGAGTTTTGAAAATGTATTATTTTAATTAGTATGGAAAAACTTGAAAGCACATTGTTATAAATAAGATGCCATAATGAACAAATAATGATACAAATTATTTCTTTTACATTTAACCCTTTAAAAGTCAAATACAAAGTAACAAATTAAATAACCTGGCTTTTCCGATGAAATCCAACCGTCGTTCATCCGCCGCCTCCACCCAAGAACCATGACTGGAGTAGAGTCCACCACCTGCCGTTGAAAAAAAACGACGTCGCCGGCTTCAAGCTTCTTCTCTTTAACAAAACGACTCCACCCTTTCGTGAAAACGTAACTCTGACTGCTATTCCAGTAGGAGTACCGGAACTTCCACTGCTTGCCGGATTCATCCACCACGCTCAGAACCAGGCTGCCGGAGATGACCGGAAGGTATTTCTCGGCGTACTGTTTGGGGATGACGAGGCGGTTGAGCTTCCCGACGTCACTGGGAGTCAGTCGTTTCTCAAACATGTGTTCTTTTACAAACGTTTGGTGGTGAAAATATTCATGGTCTGGATTCATATTGAGCTTCAAAGACATGTTAGTGGGTGTGACATGGAACATCGATACGAATAGTGGTGTCTACTGTACCTTTTAAGGGGTTTAAGATTTGGTTTGCGTGGTTAAAAAGCAAGGGAAAATAGTAATAAGATTGAAAGGTTGAAGGTCGAAGGAAAAACATTTACATTTTTGTAAAAAGGGTTATTTTTTGTACAGCTTTGACCTTGACATATGTATTGTATTATCTATTGGCATCATATGAAATGTAAATTAGATAATATTAAAGTTGTATTCCACAAAAACTCCAGTCAATATTGAAACTGAAAACGATACTCCAATATTGTGTTTGAGTCGGTATGTCTAGCGGGCAATTCATGTTTACTTACTTTATTATTAGTTAACAAAAATGTTATTGGTCTGATTATGTAGTTTATTGTAAATAACTAAATATGCTCAACATAATAAAATCAATAAGCTTCTTTTCCTAAAAACAAATAATAAAAATAAAACTTGTAGTCAATAAGCTTGTGTTATATTTTCCAAAATCTTCTACCAAATTGAAGGCAAGCCAATTCGATCGGCACATCAAACCATACTACAAAGTCTACACATTGTGGCAACAAATGATCCACGTCCACACTTTGATTGATTAAAAAAGATTAAAATTTAAATTTAAATATTATATAAAGTTCATAAATAATTTATGGTCATAATTTTAAGGATTGTAGTTTACTTTTTTGTTATGGAACGAGGAATAATGGGAGTGACAAGACAGGAGGAGGACATCGTACACCCGTCAAAAATCAAATATTACTTATGATGATGATGATGACTAGTCATTTTCCCATCAAATTTAATCGACTCAAATCATATATATATATATATATATATATATATATATATATATATATATATATATATATATATATATATATATATATATATATATATATATATATATATATATATATATAAAAAGACACCTTATAAACATATTTATCAAAAGTTAACTAATAGATAACTATTTTTAATATATTTTTCAAAAAACAATATAATTTTACCCAATAAAAATATCTTAAAAATTATATAGGGTGTCTAAATGGTAAAATGGGGTGTCCATTTAGCTAATCTCATATTACAATGTAATTTTACCCAATAAAAATACCTTACAAATTTATACCCAAAAAAATAAATATATTCATAAGAAAATTAACACAAAAATTTATACATAAATCATTCATATTTTGATACAAATTATAAAAAATTCACAGCAAAATGCAGTCAATTCACATTTCTAAACACAAAAACTTATAGTTTAATATAAAAAATTTGCAGTTTAATATAAATAAATTAACAGCTTAATTCATTCATTTCATAGTTTAAAACAAAAAAATCACAGTTTAATACAAAAAAAATCATAACTTAATACAGTTAATTCACAGTTTAAATGAAAAAAATCACAGCTTAATGCAGTCAATTTATAATTTAAAAACATAAAAATCACATCTTAATATACAAAGTTCATAGCTTAGTACAATAAATCTCAGATTAATATACAAAAAGTATGCATTCACAACTATATTATCAACTTAACACTCTTAATACAATTAATTAACAGTTTAATACACAAAATTTACAGCTTAATACAATGAACGAGCAATTTAATACACAAATTTCACATCTTATATAGTTAATTCACAGTTTAAACAGAAAATTCACATCTTAATAGAAGTTAACACTAAGATTATAAAAAAACAAATGAGAGATTATGTAATATCCAAAAAATACAGGCAAAAAATTTCATTTTTAAATATGTTATTATAAAACCATCAGTATAATAAAACACCCATAATATCATGTCATGTCCAAACCAAAGTAGAAATAGTCAAAACATGTTATCATAAAACAGTATCAGAGTGTAATCCCCAATATCTCATGTGCGGAAAACCATAGTGTGATGCGCTGCGATCGAGCCGACTCCTTTCCTTTAAAAACGAGGTTCCTGAAACCAAAACTAAAAACTATAAGCACGAAGCTTAGTGAGTTCCCCCCATTATACCACATACCATACAATCACATAGCATAAATACTGTAAGGCGATTCTGCGGTGCCCGACCTACCCATGTCAAGCTATTCTGGGGTGCGGACTACCCGTGTCAAGCCATTCCGGGGTGCTGAAACCCGTGTCAGGCCATTCTGGGGTGCCTACCTACCCTTCGGTCTATCTCACCCGACTACGGAGACTATTTCACTTCTATTGCTATCACATAATAACATATCATAACATAATAATATTATCAGACATATATGGGGTGCCCGACCAAACCTTCGATCCTAACAACCGAACTTGGGGACTATTCCCCTCCTACTACCACTATCACATATAACATATCATGCTAAGACATAAACATACCAGGTAGTAGCAAACCATATAATTATTACAAAGATAATCATCTCAACTATAGTCAACTACTAGTGGGCTGGCCTTGGTGCCTTAGAGCCACTTCTACTGGAAGGTAACACACCTCACACTACTGAAGTCCCGTAAACTCAACCCCACACTGCTGAAGTCTCGCAAATCCAACCTCAGTTGCTGGATAATAGATTCCCGAACTGTCAATATCAAAACATCACCCCAATTAATAATTGGGTTCCAACACATAACCATAACTACATACTTGGGGTAAATACTACTTTACCCCTAACTCAGCTTTATTCAAGCCCAAGGCCCAATCCAAAGGCCCAAAAGTCAACTATGAGTCAAAGCCCAACATATTGCCTAATTTTCCAAATTGGGCCCAAACCTTTAGAAGGTCTTACCATTTATTCTAGTCCAACCTTTGACAGTCTAATGGTCCAATATTATATAATCATTAAGGCCCAACTATGGCCCATCTTTGGCCTAATTTTCCAAATTGGGCCCAAATCCTCATATGGGCCTTACCTCAAAGCCTATCAATTATTCTTGTCCATTTGTTTGATCTTGGATGGCCCATTAATAACCCAATTGTCAAGGCACAATAAAAGGCCCAACAATAAACCCAAGTGAAATTAGGGTTTTCACATAAAATGACAATTAGGGTTAAGTGTTTCTCACTTAACCCATTAAGGACTAAATCTATTAACTACATCACTTTACTAGATAAATCATATGGTATGATTGGGCTTAATACACAATTTTATTCCTATAGCCCAAATATGGGTCCCGATAAGTCCAAGCCCATAAATCCAGTATTAGGGTGTCTAACCCCATCTTAGCCCAATAGGCCCAATTGATATGTCTTTTGATCAATTAAGGTTCATTAGGCCCATTAAGGTTTCACTAATCCCATTAGTCATATGTTTGATCTTTTAGGTCCATTAATCTTCATCGGGCCCATTAGGGTTTATTAGGCCCATTAAGCCTCATTGGGCCCATTAGGGTTTGTTAGTCCTTTTATCCAAACATCCAAACAAGTCACGATCTAACAAGGCACACCGCCACCCGACACGGCGGGCGGTGGCCGTAGGAGGCGGCAGCCACCGGCCCACCACCTTACGGTGGTGGTTTTAGGTTCCTTTCATTATTCTTTTGCTAATTACATTTTACAACCCGAATCTTAATAACACACACATACTGAGATAAGCACACACTAACATAAACACACACACACACACAACCACCTTGTGGTGGCCGGTAGTGGTGGTTCTCGGTTTTTCGGCCAAGCTACACTATACACACAAACCCACCAAGGAAAACAGAAACACACCCACCAATTCTTCCGATTAAAATCACTCAGCCACCTTCCTGGTGGTATCCGACGATGGCAGCGGCCATTTCACGGTGACAGCCACGACCTCGCAGTGGTGGCGGTGGTTCCCCCCTATCTTTTTTTCCAATCGATCACACACACCACAAGCCTTGCTCGAGATTCTGAACACAACCACCACTGGTGGCGTGTGGTGATGACAGTAGCTACTCTACGGCCACAACGATGGCTAAAGGTGGTGGTTCCCCCCCCCCCCCCTCTTTTTTTTTTCCAACCAAACATTTTTCCGTAAACTATACTAATCATTACCTTAATATACATAAAAAAACTTTTTTTTTTTTATGTTTTTTTATTTTTAGAAAGCTATATTTATCAAAAAAATTATTAAATATATCAAAATTCATAATTTTGTATTCTCTATAAGTAAACATCTATATTGATATAATTTTAAGATAAATTATTTTTTTTAGAGTTTCAGCTCACACTATTTATAAGGGAATAAAAATCGATTAGATTTTTATTACAATAGATTCGTCATTCATTTATGCATAAAACTTATGTTTAACATTTTTTTACAGTTTAAGTATCATTCATATATAAATATAACACGCAATAAAACCTTTTTTTTTTTACCTAAAATATATATTTTTACATCATCTTTCGTCACACGTTATATTTATATATGAATAAAATATGTATTAATGTTCGTCATATGTTATATTAATATATAAATAAAAAAATTATCAGATTTTTGGTATAGTTAATTTGTTATTCGAATATGAATAGGTAGTATGTTAATAAAAGACAACGTGTTTTGAAAATTTGAACTACTTATTCATATATGAAAAAAAATTAATTGTAACAAAATTATGATAAATGTGTTTTTCATATATGAATATAACTTGTGAGGAAGATTAATACACGTTTTATTCATATTTGATTATAACATGTGATGAGAGCTAATGCAAACTGTAAAGAGTTTATATATGTTATATTTATATATGAATGATATTTAAACACTAAAAATATTAATCATACTTTTTATTCATAAATAAATAAAGAAAATATACTATAAAAATTTTTTATTTTATCTTAAAACTATATCAATATCGATGTCTATTTATAGAGAATAAAAAGTTATCAATTTTGATGTATTTAAAATCATTTTTCGATAAAAATAGCTCCTTAAAAATTAAAAAAACGAAAAAAAATATGTTTTTGTATATATTAAAGTAATAATTATCATAGTTTAAGGAAACATGTTTTATTGATAAACACATGTGTATTCTTTCCCCATTTATGCCGGTATGTTGGAGGTTTTTGTAGCAAAAATAAATGATTGACTGAGAATGATTCCCTCATTCTCAACTTTTTTGATTTTCTCAATTGAACTTACCTCTCTCTCTCTCTCTATATGTGTGTGTGTGTGTGTGTATATATATATATATATATATATATATATATATATATATATATATATATATATATATATATATATATAGAGAGAGAGAGAGAGAGCATGTTTTTTTGAAAACCAAAAGATTTTTAAGAACTTGCAAACTCATAATCAATTCATATTTTTCAACACCAAAAACACCAATCTTCTCCAAACGGTGCGTCAAAGCCATATCTAGGCTTAAACAAAAAAGATTTAACGGTTTTTTTGTATAATTGTTGATGAGCACAATCATCAGTCATATGGACTGCTAATAAGCATAATCAACAATCATATGGACTAATGATTGCTCATCAGCAGTCCATATGACTACAGATTACGCACATCCGTAGTCCATATGGTTGTGTGTTGTGCTCATCAACAGTCCATATAACTGCTGATTGTGCATACGTGAATATTTTGGGAATAAATAAATAAAATTGTCAAATTTTTGTTATCCTAGATATGGTTTAGACTTACCATTTGGAAAAGATTGGTGTTTTTGTTTTTGAAAAATAATGAGTTGATTATGAGTTCGTAAGTTCACATGTTTTTTATGGGTTTTGAGCATAACATCAATCATGTGGTGTGCATGCAACCCTAATGCTTTGGATCTAGGTTTTCCTCAAGTTATACATGCAAACATCTTCCAAAGCATAAACCCTAATTTAACATGTCTAAGAACGAAATTCATATGTAAATAAGGGTTTGGAATCTTACCTTACTTTTTATGTAGCAATAATAAGAACAATCCACAAAGTCCTTGACTCTTGAAAAATTAGTGTCACAAGTGTTGCACCTCTAATGGAGTCATAAACACCACTACCAACAAGGAAGAACAAGAGAGAGAGGGGGGGAGGCTTCAAAAACGTCTAAGGTTCTCTTAGAACTCATTGGAACGATTTTGGGGTGCCTTGAGGTTCCTTTTATAGTTAAGGCTTCTAGGGTTATCAACCTAGAAACCCTAATTCCCTTGGTTAAGCCCTAAGCAACATATGGACTACCATTGGACAAGCCTCGGACGAAACCTTTATGGACTCTCATAGAGATTTCATCCACCTTATACCAATTAGGTCCATGAGCCCAAACTTTAAATATTACTGATTTATATAATCATCCCCCGTTGATTTAATCAGTCTCTTTTAATCACCAAATTAATTTTTGATCAATACTAATTAAATAATATGATTTCTCAATTAATATATTATTTTTATAATACATTAATAAATCATAATTAATCCTCTTTCTCCATAATTCATCATGTAAGTTGTTATGGTGAAGACAATCCAAAAGGGTCATACTCATAATCGGGTCAGCTACATACCAAAATATTTATGGGCTTAGAAACCTAATCCAACATTTTTCAGTTCTCACAATAACTCAGCGATATATATATATATATATATATATATATATATATATATATATATATATATATATGCATACACACACACACACACACTAGCCGTCTACCTGCCAAGCATCGGGTGTGAATATATTTTCGGAAATTAGTTCGTATAGGGGATTAGTGTTTTTGTGCAAATAGTTTATTACATACAAACAATTATCAATAAGAGTCATGCTAGCAGAAACGAAATAAAAAAGTATTAAAAATGAAAATTTGGGATTCTTTACAAATGCATATGAATACATGATTGGTTGATCATTATTGATCGTGCAACGCTTCTTTGTACACCATATTTGATGTATAGACTTCACCGACATTGAATTGCTCATCAGAGTTCACCAATACTTTTGTAGTGGCACGTCATGTCCCTCTGGATAATGCCACATACAGTTGGTCATGCGAGAAAACCGATTCTGGAAGATAAGTTCCTATATGTGGAATTTTTTGTTCCTAAGCTTTATTTATTTTCATCGCAAAACATACGCGAATTTGAAATTGTTTTCTCTTCAGGTTGAAACATGTGATCTTTAGACGAACTTAGAGGAATCATTGGCAAAAATACCCTCTTTCCAACATGTTAACTAACAGCTATTTTAGCATCAATGACATTGTGCTGAAAACTTTTACATATCAATAGGGTGCTGTTACACAATCCATTTAATGGGTCAATATTTCGTAACAGTATTATCGAGCATCCAACTTTTTGTCTTAGGTAATGAGGGGTCAATCCACTAACACTGAGTGTCTTAAAGAATTCCACGGGATAGAAGTTATTTATATCGTCTACGACTTCATCAAAACTATAGTAAATTCTCTTTTCTCCATGGAATCGGTCGACCAAATAATTATTAATCTCATCGACACTATCATTTCTTGTGGATAGTATTTCACACGAAATAATATAATTTGGTTCATATCTATTAATTTCAAAGGATGGAAAGATTGCATCAATCAAAGCATGTAATGACTTTTCTTTTTTAGTGAAGGGAATTACGATATCATCAAGGATGCAGATAAAGTTTATGTGCATCGTTTCTTCAACTCCATCACCGACACGTAATAGAAAGTCTGAGAACCATGGATCGGTTGATGCTCTCATATTTATAGTAAATCACAACTTGATAATATAAGACCAAAGAGGCGACATTTGATGTTAGAATCCACAGTCTATGCTTGTGTTCCACGTCTAACGACCGGAAACACTTGTCTGAAATCACCTCCAATTCATGTCTTTTAGCCATCGACGCTGTGTCCCAAATGATTACTTTTGCAGCCTGAAGTAGTTGAGCAGTATCACTTTGTCTTGAAATCTTGCAGACCGAGTTATTTTCAAGATTCAAGGGAATTTTAAAGCGAGAGTTAGTTATTCTCCCTCCTGGCATATTATTAGCCGCAACACCTGATGAAGCGTTCACGAGGGCAGTATGACCAAATGAACAAATATTAGCAAGTAAAGCTTTGTATAAAAATATTTTTCCTGTTCCACCGGGACCGTCTATGAAGGAAACTCCTGGAATATCATTATGGATATGCCACATTACCTCATCATACATAAATTTCTGTTCAGGATTGAGAAAATCTCGGGCTTGTAAATGTTCAGGTTCAAAAACCATAGAGAATTCTTCTTCTACGTCACGAAAAACTACAAATTCTAAATTGACATTTTGATTTATCTTTGGAAGATCAAAATCATCAATATTGTCACCCATAGATTGTAGGAATATCACGAAGTAAGTGCGGACCATATTCTAGACTCTCTCAACACTTTTGTATTGTCGCCTATAATCCTCTGTAAGAGCATTATAATGATCATCCCATAACCTATGAACATCTCTTGGCGCACAAAAACTCAATATCATTGCGAACAGCCTTCTAACAACATTGGGAAATCGAAAGAAACATGTCTCTACAAGACATTGTGATAAACCATCATCGGGCTCTTTTAACCCTCTTTCAAGAGCAGCTTTTCGGAATGTTGGGTGTTTTACATTGTTAACTGTGTAGAGATCTTCAAAACATGTAGTGCCAGTAACATGTAATAAAAGTAGGCGAAGGTAGTATTGCTCCCATTCACCAGGATTAATAGAATCCATACGACCTCACATTAATCTTAGTTTTCGATGATTCCAACGATGTGACTTTTGATCCCACATAAAATTTTTAGGAAAATCTATGTATATATATATATATATATATATATATATATATATATATATATATATATATATATATATATATATATTCTCTTGCACGAATATCTTCTTTATTTTTTAGAAAAAAACGTAGTCAAGATTGATCTCTTATCTCTCTCATTTTCAACAACGCTAGTCAGCGTATCATCCTTAGTGAACCTAACCATCTGCTGATTTGGGAGATGTACCTGCAAATACATCACACAAAGGTGTATATCGCGAAAGAGGGAAGCTAAAAATCCTCCATATTGCCTCGGGAGGCGAGACATATCGTGCATCGTGAAACTGTTTTATCTCATCGATAACAATAGGTTGTCCATCTAGATCAGTATTGATAACTTGTTCGTCATGACCCTTGTATATATACTTAAATACATATTTCACAGAGGTTATACTCGAGCTAACCTCAACATTCATATGACAGTTAAGCATCATTAACAACTTTGGGTTATACGGGACCACCCATATGTTATCCATCTTATTTCCCTGTATGTCCACCTCTATACCATTATGTCTCCTTCAGTACACGAGACTTGAGTCCTTTCCTTATACAATCAATTTGTGCATGTAGAACCAGTCAACAAGTCAAAAAGTCAAAGATTACATTTTGAATTTTTAAAATTTAAGATACGATTGACTATGTGTATCTTATTTCAAAATTCAAAGTTTCTTATTCTTATCCCTTCAATATCGAAAGTTATTCTTATCCCTTAAATATCAGATATGAAGCTAGCTAAACTAATCTCCAAATTGAATTGGTCAAAACTTGAAACAATACTTCCTTTTATCCAGCCTATTGAATCGGTCACAAAATATTAATATCAATATACCTTAATATGCATCTTTGGTCAAATGTTGAATTTTAAGAGGTATAAGGCCATTATAAGATATGTACAAATCTTTTATGCACTGAAATCTTATTTGGTCAAGTCAAAAAGTCAATACTTGCTCAATACATGTTTTTGACCAAGTTCCTTAAATATCTCATATTAAGTTGTACAATTATCTGTAAATTGACTTGGTCAACTAGGTATTCCTCATATTTTTTCTAAAACTAGTCATTTCAAGACTCATTCAAATTGGGTTGACTCATTCAAATTGTCATCCCTTTTTCCTCAATCAAATCCACCACCACACCATCATTCTTCTCTATTTAATCATCATCATTAATTTTTTTTTCCTGTAACTAGCCATCACCACCATTCATCATCATCTCCAAGAGAAACCTTAATCGAATTCTACCTTATCCACTCCATAAACCTTGTTATTTCCACCACCACCATGTCATCGCCACCACCATCACCGGTTACTACCTATGACCACCACCATCATCGCCCACCCTCACTAATAACATCATAATGCATAGTGACCTATTTCTGCCTTCTACAAACATATCAATGATTTTGTTTTCTCTAGGGCTTCTGAAACCACAAACCACCAGAAAATCCCTTAACATGCGTCAGTCAAACTCACTGTATCACTTCTTTTCTACTTACTCTTCAGTATAGAGTTACTTACATCAAACCAATATGTGGATATTTGGGACTAAGGTATGAATGTATGAAATATGCAATACCAAGATTTATACAAGTTTGATTTTTATTAATTTTATTTAATGTGTGATTTGTTTTATTTTTAGTTATTCTTGAGAAGGATCTATGATCTTTTGACTGATATGGACTCCAATTCTTCTCTTTGCTTCTAAAACATATCTTTTAAAAAAGGGAGAATGATATATACATATAGGTTTTGATAAATTTATTTCAATTCAAACAAATGATTACACCAACGATCATAGATCCTTCTCAAGACGATATACTCGGTTAGTGTGTGTGTGTGTCTATATATATATATATATATATATATATATATATATATATATATATATATATATATATATACATATATATATATATATATGAAAAAATTCAATAGAGAATCATTATTAATCAAAGAACCAATGAAACAATATAAAACGTCGGAATTTAAAGCGATCAACAGCAAAAAAAAAGGTTGTAGACTTTTACAATGGACGCACATGCACCAAATTATAACAAAACTCATTTTTTTTTTAAAAAAATTTCTTAGGCCGTGTTTTTTATTAAAATAAACCAAATATATCATTGTTCATGATTTTTTGTTCTTTTTCCATAGAGATCCATATTGATATATAAAAAATAATTTTTTTTCAAAAAAAAAAAAAAAACTTCACTTCATTTCTTTGTTTTTTGAAAAAGTTAAGGTATATTTTTTTATCAAAAAAACTTAATAAATATATCAAAATTCATATTTTTTTTGGTACTCTTTAAACATATATTTATATTGATGTAAAAAAAAAGAATTTTCAGTTCGAAATTACATTGTGAATCTGCTTAGATTCACATTGCAATCTGCTCAGATTCACAGTTTGAATAATAGTAAGTTAGATTCATACTGTGAATTTTCAAAACTAAATTATATACAATTCAGATTCACAATACGAATAAATCCATTTGTTGATTTTACAAAACTAATCTATTAGTAATCAAACCGTTAAAATATAATAAAATTAAATTAAAGTATATTTCGATTCATATGTAAATTTTATTTAATAAATTTGTAAATGATAAAAGAGTTGAAATAATAAGTCATATTCACATTGGGAATGTAAAAATTGAAACATTATAGTTCATATTCACAGTGTAAATCTGAACGGATCGATTTTTTTTTAATTGATGTTAATTAATAGATGATAAAAAAAAATTGAGATTTTTGGTATAGTTAGTTTTTTTTGGATAAAAATAAACTTAAATATTGAAAAAAAAACAACAAAACGAAGTGTGTGTTTTTTTTTCGAAAAAAAAAAATTTGTTTTGTATATATCAATATGGATCTCTACGGAAAGATGAAGAAAAATAGTGAATAACGGTATACTCATTTTTTTTCGATAAAACATGGTCTAAAAAATTTTTAACGAAAAAAAGAGGTGAGTTTTTTTTTATATAATCCAGTGTATGTGCATCCAATGTACACATATACATTCATTCCACTGGCTGTTGATCATTATGGTTTTCGACGCTTACGATTGATTCATTGATTCGTTATTAATAATGGTTTTTTTATCTCACCATATATATATATATATATATATATATATATATATATATATATTGTGACATCCCCATTTTCACGGCCAGAAAAGACCGATTTGTGTATACTTTGTTTTATAAAATATTTCATATCTATGTGTAAGATGAAAGTGACTATACACTCACCCAAACATATACTTAATACAGTCAAACAATACTTGTATTATACCCGTGTTTATGAAAGGGACCATACACCCACACATATAAACAACTTTATATTATACACATAGCACGTATTTTATAGCAAATACTTAATATTTATGTCTTAGAAGAAAGTAACTACACACTCACTTGATCAGAAGATGATTGGACAGCACTACGGCTTGTAGAAGTAGTATTCTTCGGTATATCTGGAAGATCTTCACAAAAACCGGACTTCTCGCGGACAGAGCTTCAGCTTGGGAATTGCACTTCTCGGGATCTTCGGGGCCTCGGGACTTGCTTTGGGGCTTGGGAATGATACCGGGGCTTCGGGATAATTCTTGCACGAAAAACGATGCAAAAACGCGAGAAAACGGGAATAAATGAACAAAGAAGTCGGTTGCCCTCGACACCCTTTTATAGGGGACTGGAAGCCCATTTACGCTGGGCGTAACGTGGATCAGATCGCTGACTCCCCCCATGGATATGACTTCCCCCATGGATAATATCGGTTAATTTATAATTAAATTAAATATCGAAAATATTTAATAAATTTCAAAAATTCATATCTTCCTCATACGAACTCCGTTTTCGACGTTCTTTATATCCCCGCGTAGGTGAGACTACGATCTACAACTTTCATTTAGACTCCGTTGGCTAATTTTAACTTTATTTTTATTATTTATTTTTAGTAGGCCGAGACAGGAAAACTCCGTTATTAAATCATAACTTCTTTATCCGACGTCCGTTTTCGCCTATCTTTTTATCGTTTTACTCCTATTAACAAGACCTTCGATTCTCATTTAGATTGTTTTGGCTAAAAACCGCTCGGTCTCAAATCTAGCATTCAGGCTGCATACTGCTAAGTCGAAACTCCGAAAAATCATAACTTCCCCATACGAAGTCAGATTTGGGCGTTCTTTTTATGCACGCTCATGGTTTAACGTATTCACGACTTTCATTTAGATTGCTAAGGCTAAATATCTCTCTAACATAAATTCACTTTTTACGTCGCGCTGTGTCGTGCTGGTTCTGTCGCGAAACTTCGACAGGTCATAACTTCTTCGTTATAACTCGGATTTCGTCGTTCTTTATATGCACGGAAACCTTGTAACATATACTATAACTTAATTAAGATTATTACTTCAAAATAATCTTCCATCAAAAAGTCATTTTTGACGCTTAACGTCTCTAATTGACTAGACCGGATCTACGGGTGTTACAATTATCTCCCCCTTAGGATGATTACGTCCCGGAATTATCAACGAAATAGAACTTGTATAATGATTCCATACGCTATCTCTTCATCCTAGGTAATGACCGTAACTTCTATGTTTCCTCGAAAAAGTATTTAACTCTATGTCTTTCTTGACCGAAGAAGATGCCCAATCTTGCATCTGCTTATCGTACTATGTTGTACTTTCAATCGTAACCTTCAAGTTACCAAATAAGTCTTTATTGTGGACTCCTTCTTCTTCTTAGGATAAATACTTTCATTTATCTATTATAACAGATTGATAGGTTATGTTCTAATGACCTCTCATCGCATGATGCAACGCTTTGACTCAAGTCTCTTAGAGTCAAATTCCATAATGGAATATACCTTCCTTCATATTATAATGTGATATAATCACATTTCAGCATGTACCATTTCTACCTGCAAACTTCTTTGAACAACGAGCGCGATACTATCAATCGCATTAACTTCAACCTTCTGACTTAAATTAGATGTTACATCTAACTTGGTCCTCTAGACCACGTAACATACTCCTCATAGTCGAACTCAAATTTAAACATGACCACTAGGGTCAGAAAAAGAACCATATTAGTAGTTATTACCGAAACAATGGTAATGACATACCAGAATAAAGTGGAATCAATTACTAGCTTCTTGGTAACCTTGTGACTTTCCTTGATCCAAGTGCGAGTCCTGTGCTTCCGGTAGTATATGCATCTACTATCTTTCACACCTACTCATACTCGTCCCAAGTATTGTCCCGCAGTCGACCAAGTCACCATACAAGAAAATCACAAAATAGTTTAACACATACGAATGTGTCCAAGTAATCATAAACAATTTCCCTAGACTCTACTAGGACTTCTTCATTGCTCAATCTTCAATCATCAACTCTACTTCAACTCGATTAGTGATGAAAATATCAGACGATGAGACAACTTCAAGAATTTCACCAATCGTTCCATCATCCT